GTGTTTATATGATATTATAAATTATCATATATTATTATATATTCTTATTATTATTATTATTGTTATATAATAATATAATTATATACTCATGAATGCGTATTTAAATGTTTATTGGTATAGATTTATACACGTGTGTGAGCTGAATAAGCTCTATTTAAAATTCCATGCCTACGGCAGGAGCCATCTGTCGAATAATACAAATTTACACTCCACGAAGTTCTTCGTTGTTGTCTATATAACAGTACATAATTCTTTATATACCTGTGTATCTAAAATATATGTAGCCGAATAGTTTCGTAGATAATTGTGTTATTGTAGAGACCATCGATGCATAAGCTTCAGATACTTGCTTGGGATCTATCTTATTGCCTAGTTGAGACCATCATGCACCTTTGTGAGTATCGCGCGCTGATTAACGCATGCTAATTAACTTACCGCACGCTGATTCGGTCACACAGGATATCATCCGCTTCCCGCCTACCAAGGCGCTGCAAATCTGTGACAAGCATCGCCTTATCTGTCGATCACACACCTATGCTGATTAATGCACGCTAATTTTCGCGCGTTGATTCCGTCACACAGGATATCATCCGCTTCCCGCCAACCAAGACGCTGACTATCCGTGAGAAGGATCTGCTGTGGAAGTTCCGATTCTACCTCACACGAGACAAGCGCGCGCTCACGTTCTTCCTCAAGTGCGTAGATTGGTCAGATGATGGAGAGGTAGGCGTAGTACGCCGATACACGTCTGCCTGTCGCTTTGCTAACTACATTATATCTACCCAACCCAACCACTGCACTTCCCTGTTGTACCAGCTTAGGACACTTGGTCACCCGTCAAACAGCCTAACTTATCTGTATATGCACGACCCTTCGAAACCCCACTTTCTTGTCTCCTATTCCACCTACTTGTCTACCTATGTTGACTGCTGTGAAATGGTACATCAGAAAGTCTGTCTGCTTACTCGCCCAAGGGCTGTACTCCTCAGTCTACATGTCGGCTATATATTGAGTGGGCTAGTATACATATATATATATATATATATATATACACACACACACACACATATATATATATATATATATAAACACACACACACACAC